CAACATAGGAGCACCGAAATAAAAAAAGAAAATCTTAGAGGACTTCAAGAAAGATATGGACCGCAACACAATTATAGTGGGAGATTTTAACACCCCACTATCAAAAATGGACAGATCTTCTAAACAAAATATCAACAAAGATATTGTGGCATTGAACAATACCCTTGATGAAATGGACTTTACTGATATATACATAGCCCTCCATCCAAAAGAAGCTAAATATACATTCTTTTCAAATCTACACGGAACATTCTCAAAGATAGACCACATGATAGGACACAAAACAAGCCTCAAGAATTTCAAGAAAATTCAAATCATACCAAGCATTTTCTCAGACTACAAGGGACTGAAGCTAGAAATCAACCCGAAGGAAAAAAACCAAAAACACTCAAAATCATGGAGATTAAATAGGATGCTATTAAACAATGAATGGGTCAAGAATGATATTAGGGAAGAAATCAAAAGGTTTCTGGAAACAAATGAAAACGAACTCACAACAACCCAAAACTTATGGGACACAGCCAAGGCAGTCCTGAGAGGGAAGTTCATTGCAATATAGGCCCACCTAAAAAGGTTAGAAACATTCCAAACAAACAACCTAACCTTATGTCTACAAGAACTCGAGGAACAACAACAAAGGCAGCACAGAGCAATCAGAAGGAAGGAAATAACCAAGATCAGAGCAGAATTAAATGACATAGAGACTAAAAGCACAATTCTAAGGATCAATGAATCCAAGAGCTGGTTCTTTGAAAAGATAAACAAAATAGACAAGCCTTTAAGCAGACTCATCAAGAAAAAAGAGAGAAGACCCAAATAAACACAATCAGAAATGAAAGAGGAGAGATTACAACAGATACCACAGAAATACAAAGGATTGTAAGAAATTACTACAAAGAACTGTATGCCAAGAAATTTGAAAACCTAGGTGAAATGGACAACTTTCTAGAAAAATTTAATCTTCCAAAACTCAATGAAAAAGAAGCAGAGAGTCTGAACAGACCAATAACAACAAAAGAAATGGAAGCAGTAATCAAAAAAACCCCAACACACAAAAGCCCTGGACCAGATGGTTTCACAGGAGAATTCTACAAAGCATTTAAGGAAGAGCTAACCCCTATCCTTCACAGACTATTCCAAAAAATCCAAAAAGATGGGAGTCTCCCAAACTCTTTTTATGAGGCCAACATCATCCTAATTCCAAAACCAGATAAAGACACAACAAAGAAAGAAAACTTCAGGTCAATATCACTGATGAACATTGACGCTAAAATCCTCCACAAAATACTGGCAAACCGCATCCAACAATACATTAAAAAGATCATACATCATGACCAAGTGGGATTCATTCAGGGATGCAAGGATGGTTCAATATTCACAAGTCAGTAAATGTAATACATCACATAAACAAAAAAAAGACAAAACCCACATGATTATATCAATTGATGCAGAAAAAGCATTTGACAAGGTACAGCACCCATTCATGATAAAAACACTCAGCAAAGTGGGAATAGAGGGAGCATTCTTCAACATAATAAAGGCCATATATGAGAGACCTACAGCCAACATCATACTCAATGGGCAAAAATTAAAATCTTTTCCACTAAGATCAGGAACAAGACAAGGCTGTCCACTTTCACCACTTCTGTTTAATATAGTACTGGAAGTTTTAGCCACAGCAATCAGACAAGAAAAAGAAATAAAAGGCATCCAAATCGGAAAGGAGGAAACAAAACTGTCACTGTTTGCAGTGACATGATAGTATACATAGAAAATCCTATAGACTCTACCAAAAAACTGCTTGACCTAATAAATGAATTTGGCAAAACAGCGGGATACAAAGTCAATATCCAGAAATCAAAGGCATTTCTGTACACCAACAATGAAACAGCAGAAGCAGAGATCAAGGAAAAAATTTCATTTGAAATAGCAAAAAGAAAAATAAAATATCTAGGAATAAACCTAACCAAAGAGGTAAAAGACCTGTATTCAGAAAACTATATAACACTCAGGAAAGAAATCAAGGAAGACACAAACAAATGGAAACATATACCGTGTTCATGGATTGGAAGAATTAATATCATCAAAATGTCCATACTACCCAAAGCAATTTACACATTCAGTGCAATTCCTATTAAAGTACCAATGGCATATTTCACAGACATAGAACAAACACATCAAAAAATTTATATGGAATTATAAACGACCCCCAAATAGCTGCTGCAATTTTTGAGAAAGAAGAGTAAAGTAGGAGGGATCACAATACCCAACACTAAACTATACTACAAAGCCACTGTAATCAAAACAGCCTGGTACTGGCATAAAAACAGGCACATAGACCAATGGAACAGAACAGAGAGCCCAGAAATAAGCCCAAGTCTCTATGGTCAATTAATATTTGACAAAGGAGGCAACAACATAAAATGGAGTAAAAACAGCCTCTTCAACAAATGGTGTTGGGAGAACTGGACAGCCACGTGCAAAAAAATGAAACTTGAGCACCAACTTACACCATATACAAAAAATAAATTCAAGGTGGATAAAAGACTTAAATATAAAACATGACACCATTAAAGTCCTAGAGGAGAACGTAGGTAGGAAAATCTCAGATATTTCACGAAGAAACTTTTTTACTGACTTGTCCCCTAGAGCAAGGGACCTAAAGGAAAGAATAAACAAATGGGACCTCATCAAAATTAAAAGCTTCTGCACAGCTAAAGAAAACAGTATCAAAATTAAAAGAGAACCAATTGTATGGGAAAACATATTTGCCAATGATACCTCAGATAAGGGTTTAATCTCCAAAATATATAAAGAACTTACAAGACTGTACTCTAAGAAGACAAGGAATCCAATTAAAAAGTGGGCAAAGGACTTGAACAGACACTTCTCCAAGGAGGACATACAGAAAATCCAAAGACACATGAAACGATGTTCAATATCACTAGCTATCAGAGAGATGCAAATTAAAACCACAATGAGATACCACTTCACACCAGACAGAATGGCCATCATAAACAAAGCAACAAACAACAAGTGTTGGAGAGGTTGTGGAGAAAAGGGATCCCTTGTGCACTGCTGGTGGGACTGCAGACTGGTACAACCACTATGGAAAGCAGTATGGAACTTCCTCAGAAAACTAAAAATGGATCTGCCTTTTGACCCTGCAATTCCACTGCTGGGACTCTATCCTAAGAATACTAAAACACCAATTCAAAAGAACCTATGCATCCCAATGTTCATAGCAGCACAATTTACAATAGCTAGATGCTGAAAGCAACCAAGATGCCCATCAGTAAATGAATGGATCAAAAAACTATGGTACATTTACACAATGGAATTCTATGCAGCAGAAAGAAAGAAGGAGCTCCTACCCTTTGCAACAGCGTGGATGGAGCTGGAAAACATTATGCTAAGCGAAACAAGCCAGGCAGTGAAAAACAAATACCATATGATCTCACCTTTAACAGGAACCTAAATAACAAAACAAAGAAACAAGCAAAATATAACCAAAGACACTGAAATAGAGGTCAGGTTGATGGTGACCGGAGGGGAGAGAAGAGGGAATTTAAGGGTTCAGTGGGAAGGGTTCACAGGAACAAACTTAAAGGACACATGGTCATAGACTAAGGGGAGGGTGGTAATGGGAGGGAAGTGGGGAGGGTGGGAGGGGGGTCTGGATTGGGAGTACAAAGGAGAAAACTGTATTTGAACAATGATTAAAATAAAATAAAAAAAAAGAAAGAAGAAAGGAAAAAATAAATAAATAAATAAATAAATAAATATTTAAAAATAATAATAATAATAAAAATATTTTATTTTCTTATCTTACTATGTTCTCATTGTCTTTCCTGATATTTGGTATTTAGGCTGCAAAATGTTTCTTAAAATTAGTTGTAAAACTATTTCAACCCTGTAGCACCTCAGAATAAAAGCCCTACAAAAATCAATAAATCTACCAATACCTCTTTTTCCTGTGTAAACAGCTCTTTCTAGATAACGTGCCCACTGGAATCTGATTTTAATTTTCTCTTTACATCAAATCAACTTTTCTGTTTTTGAATTCCAAAGTCAAACAAGTACACTAGCTTTGTTTAAATATCTAGAGGAATGTTTCTTAAAGTATGTTGTCTTTACTATTCTTATTAGAATCAGCTGGGGTGATAGTTAAAAAGCCAGCTCCTGTGTTTCACCACCCCAGTCATCCTATGGGAGGCAGAAGAATGACCCCCTAAAGATGTCCACACACTAATCCCAAGATCCAGTGATTATGTTATGTTATGTTATGTGGCAAGGGATAATTTAAGTTGTACATAGAATTCAGGCTGCTTGTTGACTGACCTCAAAATATGGAGATTTGCCCTGACCTGTGTAGCTCATCTGGTTGAGTGCCATACTGCAAAGAGAAAAGTTGCAGGTTTGATTCCCGGTCAGGGCACATGGCTGGGTTGAGGGTTTGGTCCCACATCGATGTTTTTCTCCTTCTCTTCCTCCTTCCCTTCTTCTTTCTCTATATAAATAAACAAATAAATAAGTAAATAAATGAATAAATGAATGAATAAAATCTTTAAACAAGTATGAATATTATCCTGGATTATCCAGGTGGACCCAAGGTAAGCACAGATGTTTAAAAATGGAGTAGCAGGCAGAAGAGGAGAATCAGTCTGAAGAAAATGTGACTATAGCAGAAAGGCACAGAAAGATGTGATGTTGTTGGCTTTGAAGATGGAGGACTGGGCCGTGAGCCAAATAATATGGACAGGACCAAATAATATGGAAAGAAAGGGCAAGGAAACAGATCGTCCTCCAGAGGCTCCAGAAAGAAACAACCCTGCTGACACCTTGTCTTTAACCCAGTGTTAAAGACCGGTGTTGGACTTCTAACACACAGAACTGAAGGATAAATTGTGTTGTTTAAGCCTTACATTTGTGCTGGTTTATTACAGTAGCAATAGAAAAATAATGTACATACCATTGGAAATGAGGTCCAGGACTTTGCTTTTTTATTCATTTCCCAGGTAATTTCTTTGTACTTTAACGTTTTAAAACTTGACACTCGTTTTGAGTTCTAACATTAGCCATGAGTCCCTTTTAAAAAATTAAAGATATTTTAAAAGAAAGGTTAATTTTCTACCTTAACCTTACAGGCAAAAAAGGAAAAGAATAATTAGACTTTTGTTTTAAAGATCTACAAACTTGGAGAAGTTAAGAAATAAGTTGATTAGTTTGTTCATTGATAAATACTAAACACTTCTTATAGGATTATTAAACATGTTTTAAAAGAATAAAACATTATGGGTCACCTATTTAAATGCTATAGGATGCAAAGTAGACAAAGATTAATGTTGGTTGGAATTGACAGGAAGTATTAAATAGATTTTCAATGATAAGTGGGATTAAACATAAAAGTCTAGGAGATGTGCATTTTTAAAAAGCAAAGATATAATGTTAAAAACTGTAGTGCATTTTGAGGGGTCATGAGAGTAACTTGATTAACATGTGGCCAGTGAAGCTGTGAGAAAATGATGGCTATAGTAGGAAATTCTGTGAAACAACTTTAGTTAGTTAGTTAGTGTAGATGTTGATTATAGAAAACTTTGTAAGCCAAATTTTTGTGTCTCAACTTGGACAAACTGTTGTTAAATGGAATACTGTTGGGTGTTTCTAAGCATGGGTACCTGATAAAAATGGTCTTTAAGGAAAACTGATCTGCTACAGTTATGTACAGTAAATAAGGAAAGGCACTAAGGTGACCACTCAGTCCAGAAGCTTCATAGTAGCTTATGCTTTTAGTGCATGCTTCCTATACAGATGTATAGAAATATTTATGTGTATCTGCATATTAATGGCCTAGCATACATACTTACATTTCCTTGCTCATCATTTGAGAAGGTATGAAAGCAACAGAACCTAGCAGAAATGGGCGGACCCAGAACCCACATCTTGGTTTCTAATATTATTTTCCAATAAAAGGAACTAGCAATCCTTGGAGAAATGGTTAGGTTTTTTTTGCTACAGCAGTATGAGAGGAAAAATAATCCTATTCCTCAAATGTCCATATCCTAATTCCCAGAACCTGTGAATATATTATTTGTTGCGCGTGGGTCACCGGCCAGCAGTGACCACGGAACGCTGTGGATGGCTCGACAATAAACACGCGAGAAATAACAACATGCACAGAGACAAACTAGTTTCTGTGGGGAAGTAGGGGACGAAATGGCCACCCCCTAGTGGGGAGCGCGCCGATTTACAGTCCATACCTGCTTTTATTGGGCTCATGCTACATAATAACTCAGGTAACGTACAATACTCATTAGGGGAAGTAAGGAATATATAAAACAAAGAACTCTGCCGGTCTATTGAGTTGGGGGTCAAAGAGCTGTAAGGCTGAGGAACAAACTAGCTTCCTCCTAAGACCCTCCTCATTCAACTGAGAGCGTTCTTAAACAAAGAAGGTTTCACAGTAATTTACATGTTCTTTCTTAGGCCTGATCACCCCGGGAAATCCGCACTTCCCAGTACCGAGCGCGGGAACTAAGGCCACCGAGAGATAAGGAGATTTTCTTCTGGACGCTGAGAACTCAGACTTTGTCAAAGCCGAGGAGTGAGGGTCCATCACCCCCCTTTGCTGCAGCCCCCCCAAGTCCTTCTTTTGGGGGGCCTCCCAAAAGTGATCGTGCCTGGCTTGGGTTGTTCCCCCGTGGGGAATCTTACCCGTCTTTGGCTAACCGACCAAGCTTTTTGGGGTTCGGCAGCAGAAACAGCATTACTGCCAGGGAGATAAGCTTTGTCTCCTTGCCGGCTCACGGTTCCAAGGGCGTTCCCTTAGCCTTAGCCTAGGCGGGGGTCTCAGCTTCTAATACCAGTCAGGGCGGTTCCCAACATTATTTTAAATGGCAAAGAGGAATTAATGTAGCATTTGAGTTTAACTTTGCTAATCAGCTGACTCTAATATAGGGAGATTATCATGGATTTTCCAGGTAGGCCCAGTGTCATCACAAGGGTTCTGAAATATGGAAGAGGGAGGCAGAAGTGGAGAAATAGAGAGATAGCAGCATGAGAAGAAACCAAGCTGACATTGCTGGTTTTCTAATTGGAGAAATGGGGCTGTGTCAAGGATGCCAGAAGATTTTAGGAGATACGAAAGGAAAAAATAGTTCTCCCCTAGAGCCTCCAAAACAAATGCAGTTCTGCCTATACCTCAGTTATAGCCCAATGAGATGCATCTTGAAATTCTGACCTTCAGAATTATAAGATAATAAATTTGTGTTGTTTAAAGCCACTAAGCTTATGGTAAGTTTTTATAGCCAGAACGTAAGAAAGTGTTTAAAACACACACACACACATACACATACACACACCACATACCCCTAGGAGGTATGTCAAAGAAACACAGGAGCTAAGTGAAAGATCTAATGGATAATAAAGCTGGAACAATCGAACAAAATAAACAGCATGGTGTTGTATTACAATCCTAAGTATAAAATAAATATCCATGAGTCCATGCTAATATAAGTAGCTCAACTCAATAAATAATTAAACTGCAAATATACAAGTTTTTATGCAGAATTTCAAATAATTCTGTAGATGCTCTGCCTTCAAGAAAGAGGAATATGACTACCCACTCCTTAAGTGTGGGATGCATGTAGTGACTTTCTTCCAAAGAATATAGTATGGAAAGGGGGAAAAGAGAACAACTTTACAGTGTAGAAATGTGACAAACACAGTTTCAGCCTGGTGATCAAGGTTAACATTAACAGTGACAGCATACACTCTCGATATGATGTGATGAGAATGGCAACTTATTCTGTCATCTTCTTTCTCAAAATTCATCATGATAGTCTAATCACGAGGAAAACTTCAGGAAAGTCTCAGGGGAGGAGAATTCTACATAATACCTGACCAGTAGTATTCAAAACTATCATGGTCATCAACAACAAAGGAAGTCTGAGAAACCATCACAGTCAAAAGGAACCTGAGGAAACATAGGTAGATACGATGTGGTATCCTGGATAAAATTCTGAAACAGAAAACACATCAGGTAAAACCTAAGGAAATCTGAATAGAGTGTGGACATCAGTTAATAATAATGTTTTAATATCTTTTCATTAGTTGTGCCAAATATACCATACTAATGTGAAATGTTAACAATAGGAGAAATTAGATGTAGAGTATAGCAGAATTCTCTGTACTCTCTTTGCAACTTTTCTGTAACTCTAAAGCTATTCTAAGATTTTTAAAAAAGGTTATCTTTTAAGTAGCAGAGAGAATTTAGAGGGAGAAATGTTTTATGCAAGATCTTAAAGGCAGTAACAACCAGTTTGGTGGCTAATTGGATAAAGTAGATGAACAAATAATGAATGAGTTAGATTATGCCAGTTTTAGGCCTGAATGGTCAGGAGGATATAACACCAGTGACAACGAGGAAAAACAAGAGAGGAAGTGTGCTAGTGGTTGAGCAAATGATAAGTCTGGGACACAAAAGATTTGAGACAAAAGTGGGTAATTCAAGTATAAATATAATCAGCAACTGGAGGTAAAGAATTTGATGTTGGCTGAAAGTTCATGAATGGAAACGTAGCTTTAAATTTAATCAATCAACCAGTAAATATACATGAAACAACTGTTTATAAGGCCCTGTATGGAGAAGGGGAAGTGAGTATATACTAAAATGCAAATTATTGGAGAGTCAAGGTATATGTCAGCATGAAAATAACAATAGAGAACAATGAATAGCATCAGATAAGACCTAGTAAAAATAAGCAGTGTAAGAGTTCAGTGCAGAGTACCCCAAAAAAGCACACCTTGTGCCAGTATAAATGAGATTGTTGAGAAAACAGATGGTGGTAAAAGCTGAATATTTGTGTCCACCCTAAATTTATGTGCTGAAGCCCTAACCCTAGTGTGGCTATGTTTGCAGATGGGGCCACAGAGGAAGTAATTACAGTTAAATGATGTCATAAAAGTGGGCCCTGATCCAATAGGATTGGTGTCCATATAAGAGACACCAGAGAGCTCTTTCTCCCTCTCCCTCCCCTTTCCAGAGAATGAACCTGTTAAGATCCATGTGAGGATATAGTGAGAAGGAAGCCACCTGCAAGCAAGGAGTAGAGCTCTCACCAGAACCAAATCAACTGAAATTTTATCTTGGCCTTCTAGCCACCAGAACTGTATGAAAATAAATTTCTGTTGTTTAAGTATGTGATATTTAGTGATGGCAGCTTGAGCAAATAATGCAGATTGTCGTAAGAAGGTAAATGAGGAAATGTGAATAGTGATAAGAAGAAAACCAAGATAATCTAGCAAAAGGAAGCCAAAAATTAAGAAGGCTTTATTTCTTTATACATAATTATTGAGAATTTACCTTGTGCTAAACACTCTATTAGACCTCAAGAATACATAGTAAAAAATATACAACTCCTACCTACATAGAACTTACATTCTACAATGAATCATAATTAAGAAATAATAGACAAATAAACAAATACATAGGGATCATAAAAGTGCTATTAAGAGATATACAATAAATAATAATTGCATATGGCCCTGGCTGGTGTAGCTCAGTGGATTGAGCGCAGGCTGCGAACCAAAGCATCGCAGGTTCGATTCCCAGTCAGGGCACATGCCTGGGTTACAGGCCACAGCCCCCAGCAACTGCACATTGATGTTTCTCTCTCTCTTTCTCCCTCCTTTCCCTCTCTAAAAATAAATAAATAAAATCTTAAAAAAATCTTTATTAAAAAAAAATAATTACATATGGTATAGGTATGTCTTGAACAGTCAAAGAAGAAATTTGGGAGAGATGACATTTAAGCTGAGACCTAAAGAATGAAAATGAGCTCGCTGTTCAATAATGCTGAGGTAAGAATTTTGTACGCAAAGAGAACAGGGATTACAAATGCCATGGCATCCGAAAGCACTTGGGGAATTTGAAATACAGAAGAAAGGCCAATGGGATTGGAATATTGTAATCAAGATCATAATGGAGATGACTTTGTAGGGGTAGATAGAAGCTGAGTCATATAGAGTCTTATATGCTAGCCTAAAAAATACAGATTTATTTGTAAGATAGTGAGAAGCTATTGTAT